ACCAAATATGCATTTTATTTTTCTTTGTCAGATATTTCTCTTATTTTCTATGTTTCCCTTCATGATTTTATGTATATATGTTCAACCATGTTCAAACTAAATTGTTGTGAATAAAAGTATTAAGTTTGATCCATTTCTCCATTATTTTCTCAATTACATTTTTTTGTTTAATACTTTAAAACATTACAGGTTACAGAAAAGAATCTTGAAGTTCATTTTAATACTGTTTCAAGACATTCTCAATATTTTTAATGTCACTGCAGCTTCCTGTTGTCAACATTTACATGAGTGATTCTGGTACTTTTAACTTAAATAGTTGACCAACAGTCCACTGTGGTGCTTTTAGAGGCAATTCAAATGCACCCACACTAGGCTAAATTTAATGTTTTTTTTTTAAATTAAAATGATCAAAATCACACACTTAAATAATGTTTTTGGGACTGTTGGAGAGCTAATTCAGAGAAAATAGTTTGCAAAGCTGAGCCTGAGCAAAGATGTGATAATAGTTTTTAATACTTTCTAAGGTCTTAATTTGACCAAAACAGATTAATCACCTTTTAAGACTTTAAGACCCAGCAGATACCCTGTAATATTAAACAATTCACATTTGTAAACAAAAATAAAATCAACAGTTTAATACAGAACTGATTTTATATAGATATTTTTATTATATATACATGTTTAATCTTTGATAACCATTTTTTCGAGCAAACTAAAAAGCCTGCCAAAATTCTCCCTTCTCTCCTGTGCCCTCTGCTGCTCTGCCTCCCTCTGCAGCCTCATGTCCTCCCTGATCAGCTCCAGAAGCTGGTCATCGCTGTCCCTTCTCCCTTTTCTTCCACCTGGCTGACTTCCTCCTGGCTGACCATATTCATCCTCACTCTCCTCCCTTTTACTCCACTGCTGTACTTGGCCCTGGGGTGTCCTCACGGATAGAGGCAATTAGGACAGGCGGACTGGTTGAGGGTCTCGGTCCTAATACCTCATCCATGAGGTCAAACCAGGGCCAAGATTCCTGATGGAAGGTTTGGTGTGAGAAGCAAGCTGACAAAGAGAGTCTCTGACTTTGGGAACCAGCTCGTCTGGGGCACAGATGAGGATATTAGTCTTATTTTCATTCAGCTGTAGAAAGCTCCCACCATCCAGGTTTTGATAGAGTGTAAGCAGGTGTGTAACAGCTGCAGCTTAGACATCTCATGGGGCTTAAAGGAGATGTACAGTTGGATGTCATCTGCATAAAGATGGTAGGAGATTCTGTTGAAGGAGCTCAGAATGTGCTGAAGAGGAAGCAGACAGAGGAGGAAGAGCAGAGGCCCCAGCACAGAACCTTGTGGGACACCATGGGTAAGGGAGGTGGTGGAGGACCTAAACTTGGAGAAGGCCACAGAAAAGGAGCGCTCAGAGAGATAAGAGGAGAACCACTCCAGAGCAGATGCTTATAGGTCTACCCAGTCTCTCAGCCTCTCCAGTAGCAGGTGATGGTCAACAGTGTCAAAGGCTGCAGTCAGGTCCAGCAGGACCAGAACAGAACAGTCCCCTGCATCACTGTGAGTCAGAAGGTCATTAGAGACCCTAAGAAGAGCTGTTTCAGCAGAGGAGAGGCAGGAGAGACAATACAGTTCCTGCGCTAATTAAAATAGTTAAGTAATCAATAAAACTTGAGTTTTTAGACAACATTTTCATACTGATGATGTATTCTCTTAATAAATCCAACTAAATTAGATGGTACTAGACGAGTAGTAAAGTGTCGATATCGGTATTGATATCTGTATTGGCAATACTGGTCCTGGATTTACTTGGTATTGGATCAATACCAAATTTTGCAGTATCATACAGCACTTGTGTCTAGTTCACATACCCCTTACCATCACGGCCGTCTTTGTAGATGGGATATGCTGTTTTACAGCCTTTTTCCAGTAGAAGTCATTTCTAAAGTAATTTGTCAGAATATCTAGGTTTCAGAACCAAGACCAGACTAGCTTCAGGGGGAGGAGAAATGCCAGGTAATGGGCTACTTTCTCCCATTTGCAGGAAAAAGCTTTACATCGACCACATTTCAGTTGAGACAGGAAAATGCATGAATGCATTCAAAATGGTTTGGGGGTATTTCTTATTATGAAATGACAATATCAGATGATTATTCGTGATATGGAACCTTTGCAAAAACTGTACAATTAATCCTCAATTGTGTGCCTTAGGTGATATTTGTTATAGCGGGGTCCGGGATCAAAAATCCAAATAATTGGAGATCCAGATAAAAATCCAGGTAAGGGAGAGAAACGGTGGCTAATCTAGGTACATGAAGATGGTCAGAGAATCAGGCATGAACAGGAAGGCTGGAGAATCTATTTGCTAAGGCTTTCAGTAATTTGTCAGGGAGCCGGTGGCAGGCTGAGTTTTTCTTCTTCCATGAATTAGGAAGGCTGGACACCTAAAAGGCGTATTGCTGCCACAACAACCACCCCCACCACCGAGTTTGCACAACCCATCATATACAACAAGCACACGAACCCCCCCCCCCCCCCCCCCCCCCGTACACACCCTAACCCCACAGGGAGGCTAACCCCACGCTCGTTTCCCCTCCCCCCCATCACAAACATCCACCACCATTGGCGACCCTCGATCCTCTGTAGTCCTAGAGCCCCCAGTCCCCTGCAAGCACGCAGTCCCCCAAACCTCCTCAGGTGACACGTCACCAAAGCCCAGAAAGGCCTCTGCAGCTGCAGTCACCTCGCGGGCCACGTCTGACTTGTTTGATGCCACATGCTTCACCCTCCATATTGCCTCCACTAAATGACAGTATATATATGACAGCAGTTGGATTTCTTGAATGAAAAAACCATCCCAGCAGAATAAACGTAGAGCAAATGAGTAACTCAATAGGTCTAAATGCTATTCAGACATTTTCTTTGATCAGGAATGTACCACTGATATTTGGAGATGTAGTTCCAGAAGGCAATGCACACTGGAGACTATTGCTGCTGCTTCTTCAAATAATCAATCTTGTGTTTTCACCGGTCATTACAGAAGGCATGACCGTATATCTGAAGCATCTCATTATTGATCGTCATAAGCTATTCAAAGAGCTGTACCCACAACAGAGCCTCATACCCAAACACCACTTCATGACACATTATCCTCGAATCATACGAAAAATTGGCCCAATAATTCACTTTTGGTCAACCAGATTTGAGGCCAAGCACAGTTTTTTTTTAAAACACTGTCAAAATTTTCAAAAACATTACAAAGACTTTAGCTCAAAAACATCAAATGGCAATAGCATACCACTGGGAGTCATTGCCTTTGAAAAGCATTGATTCTGGACCTGTTAACACAGTAAAAATAAGCGCGTTAAGAAATGGTGACATGGTGGCTGATAACCTGCACGTTGACATGAACTCTGAGGTTGATGTGGTATCTTGGGTTGCATGTTATGGAACTGAGTATCGCCCTGGACTTGTTGTGTGCTCAAAGATTGAAGGGGGAATACCAGTATTTAGTCAAATAACTGAAATTATTGTTTGTGCTGGGAAAAATTTTCTGGCAGTCAAACACTTTGAGACGCTGGGATTTGCTGAGCATTTTCACTCGTACCATGTGGCAAAGGGAAGTGAGTTTGATACTTCTCTGTTGAGGGTTGATTTGTTGCAGTTTTTCAAACCATTTGATCTTTAGACAACTTACGGTTTTGAGAGGAATGATTTGTATGTGGTTCTTGTGCATGTGCTGTTATAGCAGACATCAAAATAGTAAAAGATATTTTTGTTTTTGGATAGCTCCAGTTTGGTACAAACTTGGGTGATAAAGCACCATGGCCTTTTGTTTTAGAGAAAATTGTACAACACCAGTTTATGAAACAGATTCTGCTTCTTTGCATAATTTGTTCCTCATTTTGAGGTTCATTACTTGTACTCATGATTCATTGTACAGTAAACGAGAAGACCATATGCTTAAGTGACTGAAGGATGTCCTTTGTTTTCTCACAATTTTTGGAACAAATTGTAACACATTTTAGTGTTTCCATTTTCAAATAAATATTTGAAAATTCTGTGGTCAGTTGCTTATTGATGTTCAATTGTCTTTAAAGTGCTATTGATTTCAAATTAAAATGCTAAAATTGACTGTATTTCAGTGATTAACTCCCTTTGCATGGTGTTATTGGACTCCATATGGTCCATATTAGACACTGTCGGAGTTCTTTCTACACTTTAAGAGTAAATTTTACAACAAACTCAGTGATCATCTGGGGCAAGTGTCCAGTGTTAAAACAACACTGGACACTGGACACCGGAGTTAAACAAATAACACTAGAATAGTGTGGAATCTTTAACACTTTGAGAGTATGAATGAACTCTTTGGAAGATTTCATTTGACTTTTGACAGACATAAACATAAACATTAATCGATTATTAAATTCTTTTCGATATGACATTCATTGTAGATAAAACAGAATATGATTGTAAACCTGTACATTGAAAGAAATCATTATATGAGACCAAATTAAGAATATATTTTTTCCAAGATTAAAGTCTCATCTTCTGCATGGACCTTGAATTTGCAGCAGCATGTAAACAGTGGCAGAAAAGAAGTAAGGCAATGGAACTGGTATGACTACTTACTGGTGCAAGGTTACAGACAGCCTGTGTGTTGAGGTGAAAAGCACACTTGACCCTGATGAAGCAGGCTGTGGAGAAACCAATGTCTGGTGACCTCTGACATTACAGTGGACTAATAACTTTGGACATTTCCAACGCTACAATGCTACAGAGTCATATGACATAGCCATAATACAATTACAGAAATATTTAACAAAATAATGTTTCATATTCCAACCTAAAGAAACAGAACATCGTCTGAATAGGCTCTGTACCAGATTTATTCTATGGTTGTTGCCATTCATGTGGGGACAGAAATTGTGTCTAAGTAGTTGGACTGCACCCATAACTTTTCAGATTCTCTGTTCTACCCTGAAGAAATGTTTTATGTGCTTTTTTCTTTAGTCAACAGAAGTTCCAGCCGTGTACCTCCAGAAGAGATCCTTCTTGGGCCCTGCTTTGCTGTTTGACGGGTCCCGCTGTCTTGTGGCATTCATAACCACCCTCATCACCACATTAGAAAAAGAAGATGTAGCGGTGAGGATTGACTACATATTTCTTAAGTGATCAATAAGATGTGATATTCCGTATAAATATGAAGTATTAATCTGATTTATCTTTGAATGTTAGATTTTTTTTCTGTGTCCTGTCTGGCTGTGAAGCAAACTGAATTAGCCTTACAGATTTACTCTCAGGTGGAGCATCAAAGCTTCTGCTTTTAAAGTCACGCCTGACACTTAAAACTGTATTGTTATTTGTTACATTCTGGTCTCATTCACGACAAACTCCAGAATATCTATTTCCCACCCAACGGGGTAGTAAGGTTTATTAACAAGACTACACCAACATACAGTCTCCGCTGACACCCCATACCGGCATGTCCTCTAAAAACGCCCGTGCAGCAACACAATACACTGTGGAACCAACCAAGCCAAACAACAATGCACATCATTACATCCCTTCTCTTTTTTTTCTTTTTGATTTGTCCTTCTTCTTACTAAGGGAGAAACAATATGAAACACTAACAGAACACAAAAACATTCCCAGAACACAAAAACATTCCACTATTCGAACATATACATTTCTGCAACTGTAGTGGACATGTGTGTCCATAGAACACATAACTTCTCCCCTCAACCAATAAAGACTGTCAAGTCCTCATTATGGAACATAGTCCTTGTACCAAAGTGGTGGAACCACTTTGCGACCTGACCGTGTCCTGATACCCCCTGTTACCACGTCAGACTCGATCCGCTGCTCACGACTTTCCGACGGATCCGTCACTGAGCTGCTCAGTGCCCCAGTGTCTGTCATGGTATTGTCTGGATCCATCACGCCTGCATGTCTCAGGTGCTTCCGATTCCTCCTCAGGACACTCCCAGAATCCAACCGCACCTCATAGGACCTCGGGTCAACAGTCCCAACAACCACTCCCCTGCTCCAAGTGGAGTGGCGGTCCAAAGGCTGAACTCTGACACTGTCCCCAAGCGTCAAAGAGTCCATGTCACGTGCTGACCGATCATTGCACTCTTTTTGGCGCTTCTGTTTCATCTGCAACTCCCGCCGGGCAGGAATGACTTTTGGCCTTAGCAGGCTCGTCCTGGTTGGCAAAAGCGTCCGTGTTCTCCTGCTGAGCAGCCTCTGAGCTGGGCTGGTCTCCAGGCCTTGTGATGGTGTGTTGTGATGGTCCAGAATCGCCAGATACGGGTCCTGCCCTGCCAGTTTTGCCTTTAGCAGCAGCCTTTTTGCTGTCTTCACCGCTGATTCGGCCTTCCCATTACTCTGAGGGTAACCTGGCGAAGATGTTTTGTGCTGAAAATCCCGCAGTCGACTAAATCTCAGAAACTCACCGGACGTATACTGCGGTCCATTATCTGAGACAACCATGTCTGGGATGCCCTGTCTGGCAAAGTGGGCCTTCAACTTCCTAATCACTGTGGTGGACTTAGTGTCCGGGAGATAGCCAATTTCCCAGAAGTTTGAATATTAGTCCACTGTGATAAGGTAGTCCTTGTTGTCAAACATGAACAGGTCTGAGGCCACCTTAGCCCATGGTCTCGTCGGGATCTCGTGAGGAACCAAAGTCTCTTTCTGCTGTCTGTAATCTACTGACCTGCAAATGTCACACTTAGTCACATACGTCTTAATTTGTTCATTCATGCCTGGCCAATACACACACTCTCTGGCTCTCCGTAGGCAACCTTCTACAACTAGGTGTGTCAAGTGCAGTTTGGCTATGATCTGCTGTCTCATGACAGTTGGGAAAACAACACGTTCACCCCTAAAGACAAGTCCATCCTGACTACTCAGTTCATCCTGGAACGAGAAGTATGGTCTGATGTCACCGTCAGTGTCCCTTTTGTCAGTTGGCTACCCTCTGTGAATTGTGTCTATGAGGGTTTGTAGTGCTTTGTCCTCCTGTGTAGCAATCCTTATGCTGTTTAGTCTGTCCGGTGAGATGGGTTCATGAGTGACCAATGTCAATGCTCTCCATTTCCTCCTCTATGGAACCCTGAGGTGAGCACTCTGAAAGATATGCCCTACTCAACGTGTTGGCTAATAGCATGTCTTTGCCTGGCACATACACCACATCTAAGTCATATTTCCGCTCTGTAGAGGAGCTCTGTGGACGGGGTTAGATGGCTGAAATTGACAGAAAACCAAACAGCTCTGGATGTAGTCTGATACGTCTCGACACATTTCCGGCCAGTAAGCAATCTGGCTCTGGGCACCGAACGTGGCCTTGACACCTTTGTGTCCAGCGGAAGGAGAGTCATGAGCTTGTGTGACCGTAACCCTTCTTAGGGAATGCAGCGCCACCAGAACAGGTGATGACGGAGGTTTGGAGATGTGCATCAAATGTGTAGGTAATGATGGAGTGTGTCAAAGCAATTTGAACTGGTCTAATGTTACAAAAAGTGAGTTGAGGTCATACTCTATAAAGACGGAAGAATTATTGAGATACAATGTTTTACCCAATGAGGCCATTAGGTGTACTGATCCAAATTGTGCAAATATGAAACATAAAGTGGACATTTTATGATCAAATGATAGGAGTTCTTATTGAGAGCGATAAGCCACTTCATAAAGTGGTCGGCAGCTCTAATATTAAGTTGCCCGGGTGGAACATGTATGTAGCTGGATTCCATGAGCAAGCCCAAGTAGCAACAAGGGAATGGGCCCAAGCGAGTAGACCCAGACAAGACCTGCTATATGAAAATAAAAAGCTTACACATGCTAGATATAAGTATGCTATTAGGTTCATTAAGAAGGGCGATCACACAATGAGGTCTGATTCCTTGGCTGGGAAACTACTATCAAAAAATGTCTTGGATTTTTGGAAAGAGATACAAGTTCTTAATAAAAACAAAACTGTTTTGCCTCACTGTGGTGAAGGTATGTCTGGACCAGACAATATTGTTGAGCATTGGAAACAGCATTATGATGCTCTATTTAACTGCATATGTAGTGAACAAATGAATGTAACAGTGATAAACAGCACAGAGTCCATTAGTGTTACAGCTTGTGAAGTGCGTCAAGCAGTGATTGAGCTTCCAGACAGTAAATCTTGTGGTCTGGATGGAATATACACGGAACATCTGAAATATGCTAACTTTAGGTTATTACCTCTACTGGCCATCTGTTTTACTAGTTGTTTGATACATGGCATTCTGCCTGATGCACTTATGTCTATTATTCTGGTGCCTGTCATAAAAGACAAAGCAGGTAGAGCAGGTAGCATGGACAACTATAGGTCCGTTGCAATGGCAAGCATTGTATCCAAGGTTATAGAAAAAAGTGCTACTAAGTAGGCTAAAGGATTTTATCTACTCTACAGATAATCAGTTTGGGTTCAAGTCTAAGCTTAGCACAGATTTGTGCATATTTGCTTTAAAAGAAATCATTAGGAAGTTTCAAAGAGGCAACTTGTCTGTGTTATTATCCTTTATTGAGCCTTTGACCATGTAAATCATTTGAAACTGTTTGTTAAAATGCGACAACAAGGGGTTCCTAAGTACATTCTGAGGGTCCTAGTCTACTGGTGTGCTAATCAGGATATGCAGGTGAGATGGGGTTGTAGATTTTCTGCTCCTTATGGTGCTACTAATGGAGTAGAGCAAGGCGGGGTACTCTCTCCTGTGCTTTTCAACTTGTACATGGATGAACTGTCACAGCAGTTAAATAATTGCAGAACTGGTTGTATGATTGGATCAACCCTAGTCAACCATCTGATGTATGCTGACGATCTTGTCATCCTGAGTCCTAGTAGTGTGGGATTACAGGAACTGCTAGATATAAGTATGGGGTGGATTTTGACATCAATTACAATTCTAAGAGTGTCATCATGACCTGTAGAACAAAAGAAGATAAAGGGTTACAGTTTCCCCAATTTGAATTATGTGGTAATGTTTTGCCTGTGACGGACAAAAATAAATATTTGGGGCACTTTATTAATGATGAATCGGCTGATGATGATGATATTGATCGGCAATGTCGTAGAATGCATGCACAGGCCAATATGTTAGTGTTTAGGTTTAGTATGTACACTAATGCAGTTAAAATGACACTCTTTAAAGTATACTGTACTCAATTATTTGCAGCTCATTTGTGGTCTTCCTATAAGCAAACAAGTCTTAGGCGTCTAAATGTAGCATATAATGATTGTCTGAGAATATTATTAAAGAGGCCTCGTTGGGAAAGTGCGAGCTGCTTGTTTGTCTCTTCTTGGATCAGTACATTCCACGCTATGTTGAGGAACTTGATGCTTAAGTTTATTTGTCGAGTTAATCAATGTGAATATGTTATTATTAAGTGCTTGGTTAATGTTGACTGTAGTACCGCATGCTATCAGTCTGAATTATGGCATTATTGGTATAGGTGTTCATATTGACTTCCTTGTATCTTTGTATTTTCTTGTGTAGCTTTTATCTTATGTTTGTTTTTATTGTCTTTGTTTGTTTTTATTGACCTTGAGTTTCTTAATAAAAGTTGATTGATTGATTGATTGATTGATTGATTGATTGATTGATTGATTGATTATCAGAGCTTTCATATCTAGAAGAACTGAGTTCTGGGTGTAAAAAGGAAAGAATTTGGTTTGCGTTAAGCTATGAAGTTGATTCTTTTCAAAAAGGCATCAGACACTATCTGTGTGTCTACCTCACCCTTTGGAAGACCCTCATTATGGATCTGAAAGTCAGAGAGGTCGGATGACCTCTGGCACTGAGGTTTGTGGGCAGCAGTAGCGCAGCAGGGTGAGCACGTTGTCCAGTAATCGGAAGGTTGCAGGTTCGATCCCGGCTCCAGACAGAGAATTCTGCTGTTGTGTCCTTGGGCAAGACACTTAACCCACCTTGCCTGCTGGTGGTGGTCAGAGGGACCGGTGGCGCCTGTGCTCGGCAGCCTCGCCTCTGTCAGTGTGCCCCAGGGCTGCTGTGACTACATCATAGCTCATCCCCACCAGTGTGTGAATGTGTGTGAATGGATGAATAATAAACTGTAGCGTAAAACGCTTGGGCCCCTTACTCTGAGAGGCGCTATACAAGTGGGGGTCATTTTTCATTTAACATTTGTAGAATAACCGTAGCGCCGACTCGTCAGTCCAGAGATGTTTTCCGGGTCGCAACAGATGGCTGGAACCGTTTGCGTCTAGAACGACTCTTAAGGAGTCGGAACAATATCAGCTTTGTTCTGCAGGAACCATTTACTATGTTAGCGGTAGGCAGCTTTTAGAAGGGTTTTGGCATAAATTTCATTTAATGAAATTCCCACCTCTGACAGAACTTCCAAAATGTTCCGGGGGAGGCGGGGGACATTGAGTCGGAATGGATCCTGTTCCATGCACTCCCTATGGTCCCACAAGGAGGCCATCAAACTCTACTTTTGACCTGCATCACTGACCTTTGGTGAGAGATTTTTGCACCTGCAGCTTTTAGCTGACCCATTACATGGTTCAGCTTGGACAGGTGGTCGCCCAAAGTCTGTTTACGAATCAGAATATCATCAACGTAGATGATGGTACCATGCTCACGAGCATCGGGGCAGGCTTTGTACAAGAAGACGTTAAACTCAGAGGGTAAGTTAAAGTAGCCAAATGTAGCCAAACGAAGCCCAGTAGGTGCTGTTACAGGGTCAAATTATACCTTTTTCCAAGAGTCTGTCAATGATTTCCTGGACTGGTCCATGGGATGCCAGGGGAATATTGTATATCAGGAAATAAGACTCCAAATGCTGCGAAGCTACTTTCTCCACCAGCTGACTTCTCCATGCTGAAACAGGCGCTTCTGCGCTTTTTTTCTTCAGAGGACTTACAAGACATTCATTCCTACCCGAAACCACAGCAGATGTATTAAAGTATGAGTGAAGGACCCCTTTTGTTCTATACAGACCATGTTGTGCTCTCAGGTCTTACAAATTAATTTGATTATGTATATTCAAGAGTAACTTTAGAAGCTAAGATTTGATTATAAATAATTAGACATCACCACAAAGACTTGTTTTAAGCCAAATAATTTTAAATATTGCAGTTTTTGATGTAATGCACTATGCAAAGGTCAGGGTATGTGTGTGTAACATTCTGTACCCCGATACAATTTCTAGTTTCTTCTCTGTGCTTGTCTGAAACGATCCCTTCCTGGTTGTGTTCTTCTTGCAGATGAGGTGGATTGAGATGATGAGAGGTGGAGAAGCTTCGTGACTACCTCTTCCTCTTACAGCTACCTGAATTCACCCCTCTTCTGTGCTAGAAGGAACCAAAGAACCTCAAACACAGTTTGACATCAGAAGAGAAAACACAGACCAATGCTTCATAAGCGTGACTTCCTGGACACTCTTTAAGGATCGGAATCAGGAATATTGGGATGTCCCAGTCATGAAAACTTCATTGTCAATGAGCCCTCCTTCTGGCCTATTGCTGGTCCTGATGTTCTGCCCCCTGCTGGGCTTTGTCCCGTCCTCCAGCAGCAACACTTCTGGGAACAACAGCCACCCTCATCTGGGCAACACTGACCTAGATCGCTGCATGAGGCACCACTTTGTAGAAACCATTACTCATCCAATTTACAAATGCACCTCCAAGGTAATAAGCATTCTCACACACACAATAGAGATGGACCAGATCCTCTTACTCCCTCTGTGTGTGTTTGTACGTGTGTCTGTGTGTGAGTGTGTGTGTGTGTGCATGAGAGAAAGTGTGGACACGCTCACACAGACAATTTCTGCACTTTCAAGCTGAAGGTTTTTCACACCAGTCTGAACATCGATACAGATGTGCCCTCAACACCAAGCCAATATGTTGGTGAGCAGCAACAGACCCGTGTGCTGTAGATTGGATTTTATTATACAGCTGGCCAGTTGCCCCTGGCAGGGCTTCTCTTGGTACCCATTACATAATAACTGTATAGGGAGCCTAAGTCACTTCCACATCATGGGTCCCTGGAAGAAGGAAAAAAAGAATGCAAGTCAACGGGGCTAAAAACGCAATTTTTTAATCCACTTTGCCTTAGACCCTGGATCACACATATGTTGTACTGCAATTTAAATGAAAACAATAATGGGTTTGTCAACCATGCCTGTCACGTACTTTGTGATTTATCAGCTTGTAAAAGTTCGTAATTAGCATGACTACAAACTAGAAATTGGCACGTCGCATATGTGACATCACCACATAATCTCCTCCCCCTAGCGTAGCTGCTACTTACTACACAACCATATTTAATAATAATAATGCATTGAACTTATATAGCGCTTTTCAAGACACCCAAAGACGCTTTCACACTCTCACATTCACACACTGCTAGTGATGGTAAGCTACTTATAACCACAGCCGCCCTGGGGAGGTCTGACAGAGGCGAGGCTGCCATTTGGCACCGTCGGCCCCTCTGACCACCACTAACACAGGCACGTTGGGTGAAGTGTCTTGCCCAAGGACACAACAGCAGGATACCCCTGGCGGGAGCTGGAATCGAACCCGTGACCCATGATCATGAGGCAACTCGCTCTACCACCTGAGCTACTGCTGCCCCAGATTTAGGGTGGTTATTTCCTCCAGTGGGAACTTTGCTAAACTTACAGCCATTTTCCCTCAGTTTTCTTGGTGTCTGGGTCGATGACGTCACTTTTGTGAAGCACATTTATAGTCCTGGACTTATTTTTACACAAAGCCTAAAATAGCATTTCTCCCTGTTTAAAAATAAGCGCGTTCTTGGTATCAAAATTTGTCTTTAAAATTCACAGACATCATATGTGAAATCCATGGAACATAACGAGCGAAACTGGAAAATATAGTTTTTAGCCCCATTGACTTGCATTCATTTTTTCATTCTTCCGGGGACCCATCGTCCGGAAGTGACTTAGGCTCCCTATAACAAAATGCCACGTAGGTTTACAACCTTTATTAGTCAGAGCAAATTCAATGAACAGCCTATTTCAACGACGCAGATGCACAAGTCTTATGACGGCTGTTGTACTACTTCTGAGTTGATGCTTATGATAACCAGGTCACTTAAGTTCTTTTGTGCCATTGATCAGCTTCAATTTTGGGAAGCATCGCTCAGCAGAGCAGCTGTAAAAGGGAGAGGAAGGGGTAACCTCAAACATCAGCACTGACCCAGTTATGACAAAAATCCATCATAAAAACAGATGATTAAGATTATTTTTGGTCTAAATGGTAAGTTACACAATGCAGTTAATGCAAATATGACTACAATTAATAATAAGATTATGAAATGAAACAGTTCTCAAATATGGATGGATGGATGGATGGATGGATATATGGATGGATGGATGGAGAGAGGCAGACAGATAGTACCAATGACAGCCCATCCATCCATCCATCCATTTTCATCCGCTTATCCGGAGTCGGATCGCGGGAGCAGTAGCCTAAGGCGAGAGGCCCAGACTTCCCTCTCCCCAGCCACTTGGGCCAGCTCCTCCGGGGAAATCCCAAGGCGTTCCCTGGCCAGGTGAGAGACATAGTCCCTCCACTGTGTCCTGGTTCTACCTTTAGGTCTCCTCCCGGTTGGACGTGCCCTGAAAACCTCACCAGGGAGGCGTCCAAGAGGCAGCCTGACCAGATGCCCGAGCCACCTCAACTGGCTCCTCTCGATGTGGAGGACCAGCGGGTCTACTCCGAGCCCCTCCTGAATGACCGAGCTTCTCACCCTATCTCTAAGGGAGAGCCCAGCCACTCTTCGGAGAAAACTCATTTCGGCAGCTTGTATAAGCAATCTCGTTCTTTCGGTCACTACCCAAAGCTCATGACCATAGGTGAGGGTAGGAACGTAGATTGACCGGTAAATGGAGAGCTTCGCCTTCTCACTGAGCTCTCTCTTCACCACGACAGACTGGTACAACGCCCGCATCACTGCAGATGCAGCACCAATCCACCTTCCAGTCTTGCTCCATGGTCTCACTGAACTCCTCCCATGCCCAGGTTTTTGCCTTGGCGACCACCCGAGCCGCATTCCGCTTGGACTGCCGGTACCCGTCAGCTGCCTCTGGAGTCCCACTGGCCAAAAAGACCTGATAGGACTTTTTCTTCAGCTTGACAGCATCTCGGGTTTGGGGGTTGCCACCACAGCAGGCACCGACGATCCTGCGACCACAGCTCCAGTCGGCCGCCTCAACAATGGAGGCATGGAACAGGGTCCATTTAGACTCAATGTCCCCCATCTCCCCTGGAATATTTTGGAAGTTCTGTCAGAGGTGGGAATTGAAGCTCCTTCTGACATGAGACTACCAGATGTTCCCAGCAAACCCTCACAATACGTTTGGGCCTGCCTGGTCTGACCGGCATCCTCCCCCACCATCTGAGCCAACTCACCACCAGGTAGTGGTCAGTTGACAGCTCCGCCCCCTCTTCACCCGAGTGTCCAAAACATGCAACCGCAGGTCGGACGAAACAACAACAAAGTCGATCAACGAGCTGCGGCCTAAGGTATCCTGTTGCTAAGAGCACATATGGACATCATTGACAGCACGAATTAAAAGGCTATAAACAACATACTAACCTAACTTGGATTTTAATATGGATCTACTATACTGTGAGCTGTGACAGCTGCACAGGTGAGCCCAGGAGGTGTGTCAAACAATCAAAACACTGTTGGGCTTGTCTTGTTATTATTATTATTATTATTATTATTATTATTATTGTTTATTTTTGTTTTTATTATTATTTATTTATACTTCATCATTATCAGCATAAATATTTTTATATTAATGTTGTGGGAGAAAAAATTATTATTATTTTTTTACTACCGTTATTGTTATTATATTTAATGTTGCAAATGATAATAATGATTATAATAATACCCTTATTATTTATTCTCTATTATTTACTATAAGATTAATGTATGTGTTTAATTGCTTATTTTATCGCATACACATGAAGGCGTCATATTATAGCTACTCACACACACATCTTTGGGTGCACTTAGGTTTGTCTCATGGAACGTACATGGAGCTGGCTCTAGAGAGAAGAGATTAAACATTTTTGATCAGTTAAAAAGAGTGCAAGCAGACGTAATATTATTACAAGAGACTCATAGATCTGCCACATCTGCAGATTAACTTAAAACACCTGAGTTTCCCAGCATGTTCCCTGCATGCTATAACTCTAGGCAAAGGGGTGTAGCTATTTTAATACACAAAAACATCAATTTCACAGTATTCGACACAATTTCAGTTCCAGAGGGTAGATTTATAATGTTAAAATATCTGTACAGAACCAAAGCTTATTTATCGTCAGCATATACTGTCCAAATATTGATCACTCTCCATTATTTCATAATTTTTTCTCTGTACTCTCTGAACACTTGGACTGTCCACTTATACTTGGAGGTGATTTTAATTTTTGGATGGACACTTTAACAGACAGGCTCAGTACAGCTGGGACTCAGCGCAATTGGCAATCCACTAACATAGTTAAACAGTACATGAGTGATTATGGGCTTTGTGATGCATGGCGGTCTCTTCATCCCAACCGTAGAGAGTATACTTTTTTCTCACACGTCCATCACCCTCATTCACGTTTGGATCATTTTCTAGTCAGCAGCTCATTGTTGGCTGACATTTCAGACACCGAGATACACCCCATAGCTGTCAGGGACCATGCTCCGGTTTCTTTAAATCTGGTAAACAAGAAGACAACCCCACCAAGCAAAAACTGGAGGATTAATACATCACTGCTTAAAGATGAAGGCTTTATTGATTTTTTTTTAAATGGAGTGGGCTTTATATTTAGAACATAATGACCTGCCTGGAACATCAGCATCTATTCTCTGGGAGGCAGGAAAGGCAGTGATGAGAGGTAAAATAATCTCTTTCTCATCACATAAGAAATAAACAGAAAACAAACGTATTCAGGAGTTAGAAGAAATCATTAAGTCTTTAGAGGCATCCACAGAAGAAGAATTACTGAGCAAATTACGTAAAGCTAAATTAGAACTTCTTGGAATTATTGACAAAAAGACACAATTTTTAGCACAAAGACTATGAATAGAAAACTTTGAACATAGTTCTTAGCTAGCCAATTAAAAATAAATAAAGAGAAAACTACCATATCTGCTGTTAAAGACTCAACCGGGAATATAGTGTATGACCCTGAAAGAATAAACAACACCTTCAGAGACTTTTACCAAACTTTGTACTCACCACAGATAAACCCATGAGATAACGAGATCAATGAGCTCCTTGGCAAGATAACACTTCCTAAATTATCAGACAGCCAAGCTACAGTCCTGGACTCGCCACTAACATCAGCTGAGCTCCAGGAAGCCCTTAAATCCATGCCTAATAGGAAAGCTCCAGGTCCAGACAGGTTTCCAGCAGAGTTCTTCAAAGAATTCTGGATCATTCTGGCTCCAAAATTTTTCAGAATGGTGAGGGAAATCGAAGAGAGCGGCAGATTACAGCCAAACATGAATTCAGCCAATATAAGTCTCTTGTTAAAACCAGGCAAAGACCCTGCATTTCCTACCAGCTATCGCCCAATTTCTCTTATTAATTTGGATCTCAAAATAATTGGTAAAGCCCTGGCAAAAAGATTAGAGAAGGTAACCCCCTTCATAATACACCCTG